AATATTTAAATTATTTTTGTATATATTTGAACCACTATATTTGAAAAGGTATACCTTTTTGCTTAATAAATAAAATATGATTAGTGTTTCTAATTGATTGTTCTATAATTGTTTTTAGACTTATATTCTACATCACAATTTTACATTTGTCTCTTCGTTTACTGCGTAAACCAGCAGTAACTTGTAATTCTACTTCTCGAAGCCACCAGCCTGTGGATATTTATTGCGAGCGATTCCGTTACAACTTTACAAGCAATATCGAACGCCGTTACACGATCACTACGATGACGGGATTGCGATCATGCCAAGGTGCAGGCCTGTAGAAATCATTAATTCCTACGAGGTAAAGTCGTAGTGAAAGGAGTGATATCTCTGCCACACGCGCGCGTACGTCAATGTTTGCATCTAAAACTTATTTATTTTTTAATCTGTCTCCTTACCTATAGTATAGTAATAAATTACACGCACATTCACATATATATTTCCTAATCACATATTCATAATATTATGTATTTAAAATTGATGTTTACAAGTTTCAATATTTTATAAAGCAGACATGTGGTTATTATAAATTAACTTTCTTTAAAACCGATTAAACCGATTAAGCTTTATAAAATTAACCTAATTTATCACTTTGAGAAAATAACTTCAACTTCAATGTATATAAGATTCACTATGTAAAAATTTTTTAATAATAAATTTGTATTATTTGAAGAGAATATTTTTACATTTTTAAGTATTTATTAACTTCAATTTATTTATTTATGTCGTGTGAACGTATAATTCGACGAATATAGCATTAATGTCAAAATTGTTTAAATTTGTATACTTTTACTGCGAAAACACATCACCCAGGATATTTTTTTCGGAACTGAATAACGGTACGGAAGATTAACCATGGTGGTTTGTAAGATGTAGTGAAGGCACGCGATTAAGGGAATTGCATTTGGGAAAATAAACAGGCGCAAAAGGAACGACCATATCGTTTTGTTCAATTTATAAACGTATTACGTGATCGTCTTTTCTACTTTTTTTTTCAAGAAAATAATTTAAGCCTGCATCAATATCATTTTTTTATATTTTTTTATATTATTATTATTATTTTTTATATTATATTATATTTATATTTATATTATATTACATTATATTATATTATATTATATTATATTATATTATATATATTTTTTATTTTATATTATATTATTATTTTTTATATTAGTATTATTATTTTTTACGTATTAGCAATGATATTCTTAAGATAACCAGAATATGTTTGCACAGGTGCACAGGTTGTTTATAAATTTGTATTTTAAATCTAATTTAATACATTTACTTATTGTCAAAAGTCCTATACGCAATAGATATTCTCATATAAAAATAATAGTACTAATATTTAGATACTAATATTTAGATATATCTTCTTTAATCTTATCAAAAGTATTTTTATTGTATAAAAATATTTATTAAACTAGATTTTACTTCAACGTATTCTAAAATATCTAATCGGACTAAAATAAATCTAATGCTTTATGAAAAATGCATTTCCGCAATTTGATAACACAACCGATAGCATCGTATTGATATCTCTCTCCTGATTATGGAGTAGATACTCGACGAGAAGATATCTGCCAGAGTAAAGTTGTTCAAAGCAGGTTTTTATTTAGAGACATAAAACTTCTTATAGCGTAACAGCTGTGTTAATGGTTAACTTAATTATACAGCGGTTACCTCGTAGATCTTTCCACGAAAGCGGAAATTTGAGACGCGGAAATTCCAAATCCCAAGATGGTTTACGGCTGTTGCTCCGAACAGGCTGCCGCGTTTAAATCCACTCGCAGCGGAAGCTAGGCCGCAACGATTTTCCTGACCATTCGTGGAATTCGATCATCGCTGATAATACGGTGTGGTCACCGTTTCACGTGACAGCTGATGAATCGTTTTATATTACGTCCGCATTTCCGTCACGATCAGATGGACTACCGCGAGTCTAACGTTATGCTATTCATCCTAAGATATCGACTGATTCATCAATGACATATACATATTATGGTGGTCTTTATAAATCTTTGCCTCCCATACAGATTCAACACTTGTTGTAATTGTTGTGATAAGCATAAAGATTATAAGATTAAACAATATTTTTTTTAATTTTTAAACATAAATTATAAAAAGTATAATTTAGATCGTTGTCAGGTAATTTTCAAATACGTTACAGCCAGCCTAAAACGCGTAAGACATAAAATCTAAAAGGTCGCATTAATTATTTTTCTGTGCAGATCATTCGTCGCGAGGAGGCAGCGAGCAGGCCGTCCCGCAGACGAGTCCTGCGAGCAGCACGAGCAGCTCGAGCCAGGTGACCCAGGTGACTCAGGTGAGCCAGCAGGTGAGCCAGCAGCCTCACCCGCAGCCTCACCAGCAATCGGCGCCGGCGTCAACGACGACGACGACACCTCAGTCCACCCAAATGGGCATCTCTACCGAGGAGATGAGGCCCGAGGAAGAGGGCACCCATCCGCGAGCGGCGCCGACCAGCCCCGAGAGCGAGGCGGAGGCCGACGACTTCGCGCCCAAGAGAAAGCAGCGCCGCTATAGGACGACCTTTACTAGCTTTCAGTTGGAGGAGCTCGAAAAGGCCTTCTCCAGGACGCATTATCCGGACGTGTTTACGAGGTGAGTCGACTGGCCGTCAAGCAATGTTCTAATAATCTCAAGCTTTATCTCATCTCAAATGATTAGAATGAGTGGTGATGAAACTTTATTTAGGGTACACAAAGACTCGATGTACAACACTTATAAACGTCGTAATTATAGAAGATCGAAATGCTTTTTTTTTTTTATATAAATATATAAATATACAAGTTTTATATAAATATACAAATAACATAACAAAGCATGTGTTTTTTATTATAATTATTTTGGATTATTTATATATAAATGAATATCATGTTGTTATACGAGAAATGAAAAGAGATGAGATTAACAAATTTGATGACAACATTCCACAAACACACTCGAGTAAAGATTAACGTATAGATGTTCCGTTCTTCCGAAAAACAATTCTGATGTTTTAAGAGCTCATGGTGTATCTCGGTTATGGGATAGAGAAAGTTGATGTATCTTCTCATGGATCCAGACGATAGGCAAGGTGTCTAGCCGCATTTATTAGGCTCCACATTTAGGAGGATAATAGGGATTTAGATACAATATAAGAGACTAACTGTTGGGTGCCACTCAAATATTTGGTTGTCTGGCTCCTGTGCACTCTCGGCTATCGTTCGCTACTTACCAAATTCTTTTTCAAAAAGTGTTCCCTGCTGCACATTTACGACATTTACGATGAGTGCACAGGTAGTCCTTGAGCAGGTTATAAAAGATATCTGGTTATCCTAAGTGTATACTATCTGAGACAGCTTCGAAATAACGATGATCAGGTGACGGTTGGAGACGCAATGCGTGTATAAGTTGTTTCTTAAAAAGGTATACGTATTAACGCAGAATTTTAGATACTACCAAAGACCTAGGTGGAAAATAACGAATCGAGAAAGGAAAGAAAAATTACTCATGCGTGACAATTAATAAAATTAATATATATTAATTACATAATTAATAAGTTTATTTTATATATATTAAAATTTTATATTTTTATTTTAGAACAAACGATCTTAAAAATATAATAATAATGGAGATAATAACATAATTATAGTTTACTATATTTAATAATGTCCAACTATTATTCTCTTATCTCTTCATGGCTTATCTCTTCATGGACGAGATAATCATTTTTTAGTTTCACAGATAATTCTAACGTAAAAATGTTTCGCATTAAATCTGAAAAGCAAAGATGAAAATTAAAATCGACTCGCGAGCAAAACCTCTCGAAACGCTTTTAAATATAGTTTTGAGTAATGGTCATGCCCGTTTCCTTCTTTAATCTCAATCCATGGCAGATTTTAAATAAATCACCCATCCATTCATGTGAGCCTGCAAAGGTGAATCCGCGAGTGCAAATTCGTGGAACGATACATCGATCATCGGGGCCTTCCTGCAGCCAGACTGACGATCCTCATGCAAATTCCCATCCGTAGACGCGGAACGACGATTTTGCATTATTAAGTCCCCTGCACACCCGGGTCCAGTTACATACGTACAGTATATCGCGCCGCCATTGGGCCGCGGTGCAATCTATCTGGGTAGCTTTTTCTTTTCCCCTTTTTCCTTTTTTTAGTGCCTTCCTCCGCGCCGTGGAACACCCGGTAGGTAACTAATAGCGGTGTAATCGCTCGTAATAGGTCCGGTCCTGCGGCCACGGTATGGGTTCTCGTAATTAACGAAGCTGGTGGGGGAAGTATGCAGAGAGAGGTGAAGCAGGTAGAGTGTTGGTCGTGGTGTACGGTCAGGGCTGGAGATGTATTCGCGAGGATATGGCGAGACAAGACACGCATACATGCGTGCACGCGTGAAGCTGCGACGAAGACGGTCCTAACAAGAGCAAAATGCACGATAACTTTGTTTGTCTAGCTAAATCGGAATCGATCTGTGTCAGAAGAAGAGAAGAAATTTCAACAAACAACTTTTTCTTCCTCGTAGTGAAGAAGAATATTTTAAGCGAGCCTGGTGAAAAAACATTTTCTTGGATGGACACACACTCATTGTTTCGTTAAAATAATGAAGTCAGTTCTTACGTATTTAAGAGCATTAAATTTTCGCAATTTAATGACACGTTTCGTGAATCTTGTCAGCCGTCTTGGGTTTTTCAATCAGCCAGTATATTTCTTTTCGTAATAAATGTATACTACATTATATGATCGACATCTATTTATTTATTGCTATAAAAGTTTTTCTTCTTCTCGAGAAAACAGTAATTGGCTTGATTAGCTTTTAATAATATTCGTCGCCTGTATTAATTTATTCCACGTCCACTTATACCAGCTTCCTGCCCGGATAGTGGAAAATTGCTCGGCATTTTCTATCGTTTCGTAGTATAAATTGATCCCCGTTTCTTCCGCTATTTCGCCATGTAGTGGTATTAATTCGCACTAATTGGATTTTATGGTCGCTTAGGTTTATTGACTAGCTCGAGAAAGAGAGACAGGAAGAGAAAAAGAGAAGAGAGTAAATCGCATCGTGGAACACGATGCATATTCATTAGGCGCACCTTTAAGGACACGCGTGCGATTGGGGACCTATCGAAATATATATCGATGGTCCAAGAATATGCTAGCGTGGCTTTTAACTTCCTGAACATCGCAAATGAAAATTCACTCGCCAATAAAAGACACATGTTCTCGCGTGGAGGATCATGTACATCCAATTGAACATCGATAAACATTTCTCTCCTCTTACATTCGTCGTTTATTTTTCGATCAGTAGAACACGTCGATTCGAGAACAGTCGGATGGGTTTTCTTATGGACCCATGAGAATGTAAATTTTCTCTTACAGCTATAAATTATTAGCCATTTTTCTTTAATTTTTTATTTTTGCATATTTTTTATTCATTTAAATATCAATTTCTTATTTCTTTTTGTTATCTTAGTAATAAAAAAAATTTTTTCTCTTTATGTCTATATTTCTTCATTATTATAATTTCTATAATTTTATACGTCGGTTTTAAATTTTCGAGTTTCGAGAGATTTTATTTTTTTCATTACTGAAAAGAGCCTTCAGAAACTGATTTTTACCTGCATACGACACTGACGGAGACGAGGAGGAGGTAGCCCCGAACAAGCTGTCGACGACAGGACGACGGCGTTTTCGTGGAATGTCGTTTCCGAATACGATAACAGATAACCGCGGACCTTTTTGCGGGAGCCGCGAGTATGAAAACCGAATGACATTTGCGAGGGAGCGCGCGGATTATCAGATTCATCCTGTTTATATGGCACTTAAAACTGGCTTACCATGTAGAGACTCGCGAGAGAACGTGGCCACTTACCTTTACGGGCTCTTAAGATCTAATTTAGATTAGACTGTTGCGGCTCGGACCCGCGTTGCTACCGACGACGACGGCATTGGACCCAGTCGGACTAATCGTTCGACCATGAACGATCCCGACCAGTCCTGACGTGTCCCTGTTGGTTTTGGTTTTAACTTTTTATCCCGGTTGTAAACCCGAGAAGAGAAAGGGAGGAGAAAAGACAAGAGAAGAAAGAGGGAGGAAGAGTGCGCGGTTGAGGCGATGAGATCTCGTCATCTTTCTGAATGTCCGGCTACGGCTACGGCTCTACTTTCTTTCTGATGGCTAATTAATAACCTCGTAAACGCTAATACGTATGGCGTGTTTAAACGCGGTTACTGCCACTGCGTGGCATTTCAACACGGCTTTCTTTCGCATCAGTGTTGATACAATTGGCAAAATTTTATCGAGCAAGTTTGACACACGCTTCACTTTACTATTTCAGCTCTTTTTTGCTACCATTTTGTAGTTAGTAATTAGTACATCGAACGAAAGCGCTAAGACGTTTCAATTTAATTGTGAATCTGAATTTTCTAAATGTCGGAAGGATACCCGAATCATAATAAAACCCTTTGATGATTTTCCATTTTTTAATTACTCCGACTAATCGGGGCGCCATTTCGTCCTGGATTCACCTCGAAAACCTGACTCGGCGGAATATCACGCGCGGCCACCCCCGTCGCGCGCGTTCTCAATCTATCCACCCGGTGGATCCATAAAATTTATCTTTCATTCGCGTCGCGTTTCGAGGGATCCACCTGTTCAAAGGGCCGCGCGACGCGCTTCTCGGTAAATCATTCCGAAGGATGCCTTTATATCCGCGGGGTGGGCCAGTGGTGAGTTTAATAAGGATGATTGTTTCCAGTGATCCATGGAACGGAAACCAGTTCCACGGAGCGGTCGCTTCTTCTGTTCTCCTATCCCTTTTCTCTTCCTTCGGCCGCGAGTCTAGTCCTCCTCCGGTCCCGGGCTCTCCGCCGTGTCCAGGACCCGTAACTCCTCCTGTCATTAATCGACCGGCGACGAGTCATGCTCCCGATTAGAAACGCCGCCGATCCGTTATTCGTTTCTCAACAAATAAGATTAGTGCCTTCCGGAGTTAATTAGTAGACGATGTTGCCAAGTCGTGCCCACGGAAGCAGCATTGGCTCTCCGTCCGTCATCGTTGAACAACAACGACGTAAAGTTGATACTTCGCTCGATTGCTATTTCCGATCGGTCATTGCTTTATTACGAGAGAACGCTATTTACATCAATAATGCAGCGAGTCACAATGATAAAAACTCTGGATTCTTATGTCGTATATTAAAAGCTGATAATAAGTAATTTCTTTTTTTTTTCTCGTTTTTTTAAAGATAATATTTTATTACTTCTTTTGGATTTACTGATAGATATAAAATTTGCAAGAGAATGTATTGAACAATTATGAATTTATACTATTATTTTTCATTTAAATTTGCTGCTTACAGTTTACTGCGACTGTTATTTCGACTTTTAATAATTTAAAATTTTAATTCCTAGATTAAAATAATAACAAAATAATATTACACATCAAGTAAAAGTATTCAAGGATAGATAGTGCTCTGAAAATACACATTAAACGTTATTCCTTCTCACGAAATAATGAACAGAAGATATTTCCACTGATGAACGTCTTAATTATACATTCTAAACGTTTTATTATTACTGTCAACGATGATTCGAATCTATCTATC